GGGGAATTAGAGTGTGAGCTCCGGACGTGTGGGATGAATCGTTGTTGGTGAATTACGACATTGTGAAGGATGTGGATTGAATGTTTTAGCTCAAGCATAGATACCTGACAGACATGAATGATGGGAAAAAAAAGTTATACGTTTTACCTCTTGTAATTCCTGGGAGTAATGTTAGGGTTTCATATTGAATGTGATGAGGTAGAGGTGTGTGAGCGGTATTTTCCTGTTCAATCTAAAATCTGTGAGTACATTCATGGTCCTGTACAAGAAGTGACGGATCATCTTTAAATTCATTTGGAAAAGGTAAAAGGCGAGTCGAACATGTCTCAAGATGCTGATACAAGACACTCACAAGACGCCGTATATCCGAGTAAACTTTCTACCACGACTTACCTCTACAATCCCAGGTCCCAACCCAACGTCTAATAACTACCTAGTACACAGCAGGAAACACACTCACCCTCCCACCATCGGTAAGCTGCGTAGTCCCATTAACATACGCCCCACTTTTACCAACCAAGAAAAGCATCAATCCGCTAATATCACCAATCCCGCCCATCCTCCCCTGCGGAATCTGATTCGTGCCATAAACCGGGTGTATACCAGCCGTCATCTCACTCGGATAAGGCCCGGGAGCAACGATATTACTCCTGACGCCCCACTCGGACAAGAACGTCGCCATCATCTTGCCCAAGTGTGCCGCCGCCGCTTTACTAGCGTTGTACGCCAGACCCGCGGATATCCAGCGCATGTACGATGCGACGGACGCGACGGTGATGATGTGCGCCATGCGGTCGTCGTCGGCGTCGATACCGTTGGCCTCGGCGGCGGAAGTATCGCGCGCTCGCGCATTGCCTGTGCCTGTTACTTTGCCCGGAGCCCATCCGCGGCGTGTGTTTGCTGCTTCGAGCAGGGGGAGGAAGGTAGCGCTGACGCCGATGACGGATTGCGTGTTGATGGCCATGGCTTGGGACCAGTCGTCGTAGCCGGCGACCATGGTGTCGGCGAGTTGTTGGATCGACTCTGCTTTGTAGATGTCGGCGCCGTTTTTGGGTCCGATGACACCCGCGTTGTTGATTAGGACGTCGACGTAGCCAATGTCCTTTTTTATGGTTTCGGCGGCGGAACGGACAGAGGTCAGGTCTGTTACGTCGCAGGGGATGCCGTGGACGGAGCCGCTGCTGCTGCTTTGCGAGGTGCGCGGTGTGTTGGATTGGAGGTTGTTGGCGGCTTTTTCGAGCACGTCGGCGCGCCGGCCGAGGAGGTATACGCGTTCAGCGCCATTCTGGTGGAGGGCAGATGCGATGGCGAGACCGAGACCTGATATGGTGAGCTTGCTGTTGACGTGAGGGCGCGGGGCTTGGTGGGGTAGCTCGAAGCTCGAGGGACGTACCGCTGCCTCCGCCTGTTATGACTACGACTAGTCCTTTCGCTGAGAAGAGATCGGCTGGCCTGATTGGCGTTGTTACATCCATGATGGTAGAGTTGTAGATGGTGTAGTGGTGACTCGAGCTATCTCGAAAGAAAGTACCTCTATACGGAGTACGACGTCGGACTCGGTTTACTCCGACATATTCCAATACGATTGCGTCACAGAAGACGGGAACAAGCCCGCTTTGTAATGATGGTTCCGAGGGATATACTGTGCGTGAACTTTCCAATTATGGTGGGTATCATATACGAACCTGCAGACCTAATGCAACGCCACTCTCGTTCTATCCTGCTCCTACGACAAAACTAGCTGATGCCCCCGACAATCTTCAATCCCAGGTTTTCCGCCGAATACGCCAGTATGTACCGGCATGGATGCCAGGCGACATGGAGTGCCGGTGTTGGAACATCAATCGTGTGTACAATCTCGCCAGTATGGACGTGCGCAATACGAATCTTCTTCTCCTCTTTGTCGTCGGAGCCAGCAGTGACGTAGCTGCCGTCAAAGGAGAAGTCGACCGACTTGATGATACCGCCCGTCAATTCCAGTGTCCGTGTGCATATCCATTCCTGTGTGTCCCAGAGCGAGATGAGCGCGTCACCACCACCAGCCGCCAGATACTCGCCGCTGGGTGATAATGATACGGCGTAGCATGCCGAGGTGTGAGCATTGAGTGTGAGCGTGTTCTCAAACGACGGGTATTTCAGGAGTCGCACGCTGCCATCGCCGACTGTCGAGTAGAGGTGGTTGCCTGACCAGTCGAAGACGCATTGGTTGGTTTGGTAGACTTGTTGGTGCTCCGAGACGACGCTAAGCGTCGATCGATCAATGGTGGCGAGGAGATTGTCCTAAGAGAGATATCAGCACGTGCGGTATCTACGAGTTTTGCGTCATGCAATCACACCTTTCTTCCTGCGACCAGTCCGTTGCCATCTGGTGTCCACGCCAGCGTAAACGGACATTCGCCAACCTTGACTTCACCCACGCTAGCTTTGGACCGTATATCCCAGAACCTGACCATGCCATCTGAAGTAGCGCTTGCCAGCTCGTTCTCGTTGATTGGGTGAAAGGAAACGCGCTCTAGCGAGGCTGTTGTATTGGGCGTGCGCAACTCGGTCGAGTTCTTGGAATTCGTCTTTTCAGGGTTCCAGATGCGCAGTGTCCTGTCCGCGGCACCGGTTGCAATAAATGTACCAGACGCATTCCAGGATATTGAGCGGATGTAGTGCGAGGTAGATACGGCGTTTGGGCGGGGACTGTCTTGGTAGACTGATGTTTTGAGCTTCCTGAAGTGTTCGTGGAAAGCGTCTGACTTGATTGAGCGCGCGCGTATCGGGGGCGCCATGGTCCGTTTGGTAGCAATGCGACAGCCGCGTTGTGTCGTGTATGGGTCGGCGCTCAATTCGAGAAGCTCAAGCTCAAGCTCAAGCTCATGTCACACGGACCATGCTTCACCAATTCACCAACCGGAGCTCAGGGTCTTCCAGAATGCAACAAGCAATGACGTACCGGCACATCTTGAATCGCCCTGTAGAGACACAAATACATGGACACGCGCACATTTGCCCATGTCTGGGACTTGGTTCTCATTAAACTATCTCATTGCAACGTGTATGGCTGCCGTCTATTGCTTCTTACTCTCAGCACCCTCCTTCTGCATGCCCTCGCAGCCGACGAGGTTTCCTGCCTTCTCCTCGATGCCTCCCATGCCTTGTTGGTTGGGATCACGGTTCGCTGATGCCGCCTTCATTGCGTCGACGGCTTGCGACTTGTCTTGCGCGCCCGATGCCTTCCATGCTTCAGCACCGGTAACGTTTCCGATGGTCTCCTGTTGACAAAGTCAGTATTCAGCACTTCGATAAAGCATCTGCAGGACAAGGCATCATCGTGTCATACCTCAGCAGCGCCCTTGACGTATTGGGCATGGGAAGAGACAAGGCCGGGGTTGTTTGGTGCGGGTGGTGCAGACATGTTGGTGTCTGGCGTGATGATAGTGATTGTGTGAGAAGAGGGTTATGCGTAGGTCTGACTTGTGAAGAAAATAGTTCAAAGGACGTGTTGATGGTCGTTAAACTGCAGTAGGTAGACGTCTGGATACTATATGAGAAGGCGGTTACGTTGACGTCATGAAAAGCACGTCACATGGCGACGCGCTCGAGCTCACGCGTGGACGTAAGCACTGGACCCTTCTTTTGCGACAGCTCTGGTTACAGTCTCGTTCAGAATATGAGCGTTTCCGCTCGAATCGCACGGCTGTCAACGATGGCGTCATTGTCTACTTCCCTTTATTCCCGAGGGCGGCTACATGCGCTCGGAATAAAAACGTCGCAGTTCCGCTCACGCAAGTGGCAAGGCCTGAGGCATCAGGGTGCTTGAGCATGCTTGTACGAAGCGTTGTACACATGGGTGATTTCGAAGATCGACATCCTTTTGTAGGACCACCTGCTGATTCAGGCGAGTGTCCACGTACCTCGGTAACTATCTAATCTCGTTGTTACTTACAAATCAACGACATTGCGTGCTCTGGCACAAGTAGCTTCGGTATTTCCTCTAGCATTGCCTTCTATTTCTACCACAAACCTTTGCACATCGATCGTCGGACCGATTCTCAAGGCTCAACACCCAACATGGCACCACAAGACTACAACAACGGCGTCCCAGGCCTGCCCTACTTTACCCCAAAACACATCACCAGTCCAGGAACACCAGCTCCCAATGCCCAGCAAAATGGGTCAACGCCGACACTGTTCACACCCCTCACGATCCGCGGCACCACGCTGCGCAACCGTATCTTAGTAGCACCCATGTGCCAGTACAGCACCGCATCTGAGGGGCCGACCACAGGCGCGTTGACCGATTACCACATTGCAACGCTCGGCCACTATGCCCTCAAAGGCGCAGGTCTAGTCTTTATAGAAGCAACCGGCGTGCAAGCCAACGGTCGTATATCGCCAAACTGCCCCGGTCTATGGAGCGACTCCCAGATCCCCGCATTGCGAAGAGTGTCGGACTTTATCAAAAGCCAAGGAGCCCAGAGTGGCATCCAACTAGCTCACGCAGGAAGGAAAGCCAGTACGTGCGCACCCTGGATCGCTGGTGCACAGAAAACAGCTGGTGGGACAAGGAAAGTCAGCGTAAAAGCCGACGTCGATGCAGGTGGCTGGCCATCCAACGTCGTTGGTCCCATGGGCGGCCAAGAATGGGCCTGGGATGAGAAGGCAGCAGACGACGAGAGCAGCGGATACTGGGCGCCTCGAGCCTTGAGCGAAGAGGAGATTGGCGAATTGGTCCAAGACTGGGCCGCCGCAGCGCAACGAGCAGTCAAAGCCGGCATTGACGTGATTGAGATACACGGTGCGCATGGCTACCTAATCCACCAATTCCTCTCGCCCGTCACAAACCAACGAACGGACAAGTACGGTGGTTCCTTTGAGAACCGCACGCGCATCCTTGTTGAAATCATCAAAGCGATTCGTGCCGTCGTCCCGGACAGTATGCCCGTGTACCTCCGCATCAGCTCTACCGACTGGATGGAGGAAACAGAAAAGGGCAAGAAGCTCGGCTCCTGGGACGTCGAAAGCTCAATCCGCCTCGCCAAGCTGCTGCCAGGCCTGGGTGTGGATCTCCTCGATGTGAGCAGTGGGGGTAACCACCCGGAGCAGAGAATCAACATGTTTGATTCAAAGGACTACCAGATCAAGATCGCCGCGCAGATACGCGCTGAACTGAAGAAGGAGAACCTTGGTCTCTTCATCGGTGCCGTGGGCCTCATTACTGAAGCGGAACAGGCGAGAGATATTGTCGAAGAAGGTGGAGCGGCTGATGCGGCGGCCTCCCAAATCAGCGACACGGAACTTGCAAAAGAGGCTAGGGCTGCGGTCAAGGTTACTGAGGGTAAGGAGCCGTTGGCGGATGTTGTATTGGTTGCTAGGCAGTTTATGCGCGAGCCTGAGTGGGTGTTGAGGGTTGCGTGGCAGTTGGGTTTGGATGTTGCGTGGCCGAATCAGTTTTTGAGGGTGAGGTTTCCGAAACTATAGATTGTGTGGAGTTTCCTCTGTAGAATTCAAGAATGCGACAGCGGTATAGCTGGATTGACATTGTATCTATTCGGGTGTTGCAATTTACTGTTCAAACTTTGTAGTGCACGAGCATGTTGATGGCTTTGAGAGTTCAGTGCATTCGAGCTATATCTGGGTGGCAAAAACAAGAATTTATCTCTAGCGACGAGCTAAGTAACAGCGTAAGCAGAGTGCAATTTCCGTACCCTCACCGCTGAGCCTCTCACCTTGCCTGGGGTCCACACGATGAGACTGAATTCGATTGGCCTGGAATCGAGGATGTGTTGGATTATAGCATATTTATGCGGGTATAGACTCTAGAGCGTTGAACGACTCAACCTGCTGAGACAGGAGCCAACATTCAGTGCGTCCAAAGAGGAGCTTGAGCCACTGGAGAAGCGTAGTATTGCAGCATGCCACGCTTCTCAGTTGGCAAGAGAGGGGATAAGACGTGGTAACTGAAAAGGTGGCTGGATTTGATGGTAGAACTAGGTGGCGGAGATTCATGCATGCCGAACAAGCTGCGACTTTGCGTTCGATGAAGCCGGCCGTTTCCGAGACATCGTGGAAACCCTAGACGAAGCGTGTCTAGTGCAATTTCCTGAGCGGCCCTCAGTCAAGAGGCGCAGCTTCCAGGTCTGCTCATCGCATACAATAGGGCCGGCGGATTCCCATAGAGTCCTTGCATGGTTGTCTCCCTAATACTTTTAGGGTCTTCCGCCTGTTCACCTCACGCCATTGGCCCACCCATGATGTCGTTGCCTGACTGCGGATCAAAAGCACCACGATCTACTCGATAGACGGAGCACTGCCTCCGGCGAGGTAGGCCTCAATATCGATCGTGACCTGTAAAAGCCTCAGAAATGAGTCCACAGTAGACAAAAGACCTACATCACGCTATAGAAAGTCAGCGTTTGTTTGCAAGTTTGTAATGTATTCTACTCTAGTCACATTCACATGCCACCTAACCATAGACCTCCCCTTCCACGGGCCACCCAACCTCCCCAATAGAGAACCCACATCTCTTCACCACACTCCCATCCTCTTCGAGCCGCTGAACCGAACCCCATTTCAATCGCCCCTCACCAAAGAGCCTCTCTTCACCTGTATCGACATGGCAGGCGGCCGCGATCCCCAAACTACAACTTCCCACAACAGGGATCCCTTCCTCCAACCACCTCCACCCAACCCCCACCATCACTACCAAAAAAACTGCCGCAGAAATGATAAAGATGAACAGCGCTAGCGGCGAGTATCCGCACGTAGCGAAATCATGCCAATCATCCCGTCGCCATTCGGGCCATTCCCCCACCTGCATCTCCGTACTCTCAGCTACAGTCCGATTCACATTTGCCCACCACTCGACGGTAACAACAAAAATGCTCTGCGATGCGAGCCAGTGTAGCAGAGCACCTGCCGAGATCATAGGCGCACTGTACCGCCAGGGTAGTTGCAGGAAGTACGTTGCGCGCTGAGCGCCGCGCGGATGCGTGTGCACGCGCAGGCCCTTCCTAGTCTTGGCAAAGGACGACCATTCACGGGCAGCGAGCATGGAAGTAAGATGAGCGTTGCAGGAGAAGTATATGAAGGACAAGACTAATTGGGGAGAGTTTGCAATTAGGACATTGGAGAGGAGTCCGGCGGTGCGGATCATACGGCGCCGGATGCCTGCAAAGGTTGTGAGGGTGTTTTCGCTTGGCTGGCCGAAGCCGAGGGTCCATATGTCGGATGGGTTTGCGCCTTTCATGTTGAAGGAGCCGTAGATGAGCAGCGCGGAGCATATGATCAGGCCTAGAGCGGCGGTTGTGAAGACGGTGATTGTGCGGCGCCGCGAGACAGCGGCGAGCCAGCGCTTGCGCGATAAGTGGAAGGGGCGCGGCCCGAACGAAAGACTGGAGAACTTTTCATGAGGCGTTACATCATCCTTAGATAAGAGGGATGAGCCTTTGGTGACTGGATCGGGGTGAGACAGGAAGCTGACTATGGCATCACCGATGCCGAGGAGGAGGTGCTCTCTTGTCGAAAAGTATGTGGTAATGATTAGCAAAGCTTTGCAAAAGTTTGTAAAGACGACCAGGGCCGCGATTACAGCGTTGAGGCGCAGTTTGCAGTGTTCTTCCGTCTTTGTGCTTAAGCAGTAATCGACTTTTCGATGGTTCAATGTCCAGTTTTGAGGGTTGTTGCGGATCCTCAGAGCATCGACATCGCAGAATTCGTACTCCTTACACTTGTGTCCTAACGTACTAGATGTGTAGTATTCGAGACACTTCAGGCCGTCGCCGCATATCCAGGAGTACGGGTCGAGGTTTGTGGCGTCCTGGCCTCCAGTGATTGTAATTTCGCCTCCAGTTGCGTAGTCGAAGATTTTCCCTGCTTCGGAGGAGCTGGTAGAATTAGAGGTAATCACGAGGAGATTACCTCGAGCGGATATAAAGGAGCGAGCGTACGCATCGATGCATGACCTGGGCTCTAGGCGCTGGAGCGAACCAGCTTGATTTGCCTTCCAGAGCTGTTTGTCCACAAGCTCACTCACAAGTGGACCGTACTCCCCCGAGTCGGGAACGATAAGACTATTGGACGACGAAAGCCACGCCTCGTTCGTGATGTAAGCAAAGTAGGAGTTTCCTGAGAGCGTTGTAAAGACAACAGAATTGTAGCTGCAATCCAGGTTTTGCGTGAGTGCATGGTCGGCATATCGTGATGATCACTGGGTCCTACCTACAAGAGATGTAGCGGTATTGATGATACGCCCAGCAATAGCCAAATCCACAACCTCCGCTTCGCAATGCTGCGCAGGTTGCGAATGCTAGGCACTCCGATATCCAGCCATGTTCCTCGCGCATGCGCTTTATCCACCTCCGATCTAGTAGGCGAGGACAAACATTGCATAGTGTAGTTACTGCCACTCAGTATGGCAGAACTGAAGATGTTGATGATAAGATGGACGCCGATGTTTAAATTCTTAGTCGTCTCGCAGGAGCCTTCGTACAGCACAGCACTCCCGTACGTCATCCCGTGAGTCACGAGCGCCCATATAGTGATGATGAGATTTAAAAAGCAGATAATTGAAGTCGCGAGGGCTGCGTAGAAGATGCCCAGTTGCCATTTTTCATTTCGGGACAGCAAGCCCTTGCTCTTTTGCTCTGATGGATCATTAGTCTCGGTAGAGTTGACGGGCGTGTACTTGGTGTTCTCCATGGCTCGAAACTTCGGGAAGCGTTGTGGGATGAAGAGGGAGGCCTGCAGTTATACTCAGCGCATCTGAGGAGTCCTTCCCGTACAGCTCAATCTTTGGCTTTACGATTCGTTTGTCACTGGATCGACGTGTCGCCTATCCCGGTCTTGCCTTGACTATCTCACTAAGGAATGTAGACTTGGCACCGGGTCCGCTTTTCGCGAAAGAAGAGCTCAGCCCAGTACGGCACCTGATGCCTGCCGCTTTCGTGTTTCCTTTCCTTTAGGGACTCGACGCGGCTCCACACCTTCCCCATTCCGGAAATTGGGGGTTCAGCTGCCAACCCGTGGCAATATCAGTATCGCATCCGAAAGATTCAAGTAGGTGGATCTGTCAGTTACAAAGATCGGTGCAGTTCTTGGCAATTCTCGCTTCAAGATCCGCATCATACGTTTTTGTAGATAATTACGTACCGAGGGGAAGGTGCCTAGTCGGAGCCCCGGCACATCTTGGTCTTGGACTCGCTTAAATCCGGTTTCCGACACGCCAACACTCCAGACACGATAGTAAATCTTGTGACCCATTGCGACCGGACGGAAGCGCGTTAGCCCGCTTGGCTTTCATAATTGTAGAGCCCAGCCTCCACATCTGGTGGATTCTGCCCTTGGTAGCTGAAGTAAAGGCAAGATCGTGCAACTCACTGGATCTCTCTAGAGTTAGACTATACGCTCTACCAAGAACAGAGTTCTGTAATAAAGGAAGCTGGCAATCTTAGTTTAATTTATTAATTTGATTGACGTGGTGGTAATAAGACGCAGGTACAACGCTGTTAAGTTACACTGTATTGTATCGCAGTAGATGTGTGTTTCCAAACACTTGGCTTCATTGTATGCAGCTGTATATTCCAGCTGCCTTCAAATTGGCGTTAGTCTAAATTGGGCGTAGTCCAAGCGTTGAGAAGGAACGAGTTTCTTCGTACACCTGAGCCGCGCTCATCACTTCTTGCGAAATGTCTACTTATTCATCTTGAAACACATCCATGTCACTGCAGTAAGCCGAATGTGTGACCTAATGATAGGTACTTCTCATCAAGAACCTATACTCTATGCCACCCGTCCACAATGAGGTGCCGCTAGTGTTGATAACGGTAACGGGCGCGATTAGGCAGCTGCGCTGCCGTCCACGAAGCTTTGTAGCGAGCCGTGCCGCCAGTGATTGCGCCTAATACCAACAGCGCCGGCACGTGACGATGCTGACATGGATAGTGCGCAACCTTCGGAATAACGAGCTCCACCAACAGTTTACACTTCCGGAGCCTCTGGCGATACAACACTATCCTTACCCACAAAAAATGAGATTAATCGACTGTCGCGGCGGCTCGCTGCGGATGCAGGAGTTCATCGGACGTCCGCCAATTCCCTTTGCTATCCTCTCGCATACCTGGGACAGCGAAGAGGTCAACTTTCAGGCCTTCAACGACATCGCCACGCGCACTGCGGCTAAGGGCTGGACAAAGATCGAGCGCACATGTCGTGAGGCCCAGCGATGCGGGTTCGACTACGTCTGGATAGATTCGTGCTGCATCGACAAAACCAACAATGCCGAACTGAGCGAGTCGATCAACTCCATGTTTCAATGGTACAGCGAGGCCGACCTCTGTCTCGTCTATCTTGCTGACTTCGATGCCAACGCTACCGATAACGAGCTCGTTAGTATGCTGCATAGTGCTCGCTGGTTCTCACGTGGATGGACAATGCAGGAGATTATCGCTGCGCGAGCCGCGAATTTCTACGATCGTGCGTGGAACCAATTCGGTACGCGAGAATCTCTACGCGACATACTTGCGTATATTACAAACATCGATGTGGAGGTCTTTGCTCCACCAGAGGGCCCTGATGCCTTGAGTACTCGTGACCTGCTTGACGCTATTCCTGTCGGTCGCCGCATGTCGTGGGCAGCATCCCGTCAAACGACTAGACCTGAGGACATGGCATACTGTCTGATTGGTCTGTTTCAGGTCAACATGCCAATGCTCTACGGCGAGGGTGGAGAACAAGCGTTCATTCGACTCCAAGAGGAAATCATGCGCGACAGGAATGATCTCAGCCTGTTCGCATGGCGAGCAAAGGATTCTTCAACGCACCGTGGAATCCTCGCCCGCAGTCCGGATGAGTTTGTTGGGCTGAGTAGTCTTCAACTCGAACAGGACATCAAATTCAACCCAGACTTTTCCATGTCTAACAAGGGACTGCGCATAAATACATTCTTGAAGCTTGCTGGGGACAGATTTCCAGGAGAGGTTATAATGCCACTACACTGTTATACTGAAAAACCCATGGGTGAGAGTGTGCCGCAAACTGGGGTGTTTCTCAAGCACGAAGGCGCAAGCGTGTACGTCCGAACAAGGCCCCAGTCGTTCGCGCTGCTGACCGATTCGACGCCCGTCTCAAGCAGTAATACAATTTTTATATCCAAGCGTGTGCGAAGAACAGCAAACACCGCAGTCCATGCGAAGCATCCGAGCGAAAATGGCGGCAATCTTGGTGCAATCTATTTCGGAATCACAGACGTCCAGTCCGGACACCATGCCGTACCCAAGCTGATCGAAATCGAGCCCAAAGACCTTTGGGATGCTCAGAATAACTGCTTTCTTACACGCGACTTGCGAAACTTGACCGCATTTCTTCGATTCCACATTGTGGGGCTGGGCAACTACCCAGGCGAGTTTGTAGTAGTATGTGGCTTCTCTGAAAAGAAACCGCCGTGGGTCTTGTTAGCCGATGCAACAGAGGAGCTGTTTGAGGCCGCGACAAGCCATGACTTTCGACGATTGGCCAATCTTGGTGCAGCAAGAGGAAGTTTGAGGCCTCGGCAACAGTATTTGCGTGCTCTTATGGGTAGCAGTACCTCACCAGTCAAATATGCGTCGGTAAAGCTACAGTGCGATCAACAGGCACAGAATAGGGAAACGGCTTTATCATTGAAACTCAGCATCTCCAAGGGTAGTCGAGCGACTGGCTTCTTATTTGGACACTAAACGGATTGCTAAGCAAGTATAGACTGCATTTGTATACAAGGCTGGTTGCTGCCTGTACTGCTTTTGTTCATTCGCTTTGACGTCGTGGTATATCACAAGACAATCATGGCTATACATTATTCATTACCATATCAACTACACCTTCTTGTGAGGGATCTATTCCTCGATAATTTTCATTAATGTTCCCATCTATTAAAGTAACGACTACATTTGACATGCTAATACAAGTACACATGTCCACAACATAATAGAACAACAAAGAAAGGGCATTACATAATCGAGAGAAACAACTTCAAGTAAGAAACAGGTCTTGTTAAACATTGCTTTGTACGATGAAGTCAAGACAACTCCCCAGATTGTGATGTTACAGTCTATCTCACATCTTTACCAAAGACAACGTGGAACCGCCTCTTTCCTTAGGCCAAGGATTTGACAAACTGATGCAATTCGTAGTTCAACTCATCAGCTTTCTCCAGCTGAACAAAATGTCCGGAATCCAGCGTTCTTGGCCGTGCGAAAGGTGCATACGGAAGCGTATTGTTCAACGCTATACTCGGAAGACACACCGGATCACGATTAGAAGTAACCACCAAAGTAGGTTTAGTGATTATCGGCGACACTGACTGCAATGCTAAAAGGACATTAGTACATAACGCTGCATGTTAGATATAGTGAGAAGCTCGTACCTGCTGCATCGTCTTGGTTCACGCCAGATAACAGTGACTTGTACCATCGCAAACCTCCGGCAAGACCACCCTGGGCCCTGACAATCGCTTTCCACTGTTCTTTGACTACGTCGGTGATGTATACGCCGCCATATGGTGCTCTCCTATCTTCAGAAAGCCAACGTTCCAATTCATTCAGCGGCGCAAGGTATTCCTTCTGGTAGGTCGCGTTGTTCGTGAACCAGAGACTGTAAGCAGAATCAAGCTTTGGTTAAGTTAGTCGTCGGTACTAATACTGTATGTAGAAGTGGCTTACGTGATCATCGTAGGCTGCGGCTGCCTCTTCGGTGATATGATAAATGAAGTATCCGAAGATAGGATATCCGAAGAGAGAATTTGTCTGGTTGTTCAAAGCTTCGATTTCTGCTAATCGAAGATTAGCCCCGGGAGCAGTATAACCCAGAGTCAGGTAGGCGAGCGCAAGCAAGCGGTCGGGGTTGTAATAATAGAGTGTACTGAGTATTGCAGTTCCGAAGTCATGGCCTGTAGCGACAACACGGTCTACTCCCTCGCAATCGAATAGCTCTATCATTTCGGAATTGATGCTCTTCAGTCTGTAACTTTTCAAGTCATCTGGACTGTCTGTACCGCCATAGCCTAGCATATCTGGTGCAATTACACCATAGCCATGTCGCGTGAAATACTCAATCTGGTTCGCCCACCCATAAGATGAGTCCGGAAAGCCATGTAGGAAAAGAAGGTAGGGTTTGTCGGATTCCGCTGGCGGAGAGAAGACATAGCGATAAGTCCTTCCTGAAGGTAGCTTGGCAGTTCGTACGAGGTTTACGTAGGAGGTGTTAGCGATATCGGCCTTACACTAGTTAGAAGTAGAATTATAGATGTGTTTTTGGAAAGAAATATACAGTGTTTGGAGTGAGACTGATTTGACAAGACTTGTTGCGTGCTTGGAGAGCGAGGGCCTACGGAACTGTTACTAAGATAAACTTGCGCATTCTTCTCTACGAGGGGACTTGCCTGAACGGAGGCATGTAGTGTTTGCGTAAGCACAAGGATGCTTGTAAAAACTGATCTGTACTGGAAGAACATGTCGGAGTGCCTTGCGCTGTTCTTCTTAGCACGTTTTTGATGAAACTTTGATTGGCGTAAGCGGTAACGATCGTGATGTACGATACTCAAAACACTATGCTCAGAGGTCCTCTTATATGATAAAACCCATAGTATCATTGCTCCTATTCTTTGTGTAATCAACCAAAAGTAGGGGTAATTTAACTCGGTCCGATCTGCCTGCTACTACTCATTGGTTGGCCAAGGTGATACTAGCGCTTGTGTTGTCCTGCTTTGTAAAACATATTTTGTTCACTAATCGATAACAATCCTGGGGCCTTACGGCCGCAACACAATGACCATGCTTGAGTATACTCACAATCGCTGACCTGATCAGAATTAAGAAGCGTGATGACAAAGACTGCAAGATTACCCACAAACTGACTAAAGTAGCAAGACAATCATGGCTACACATGATTTATTACTACATTGACTACACCCTTTTGTGAGAGATCTATTCCTTGATAGTTTTTATCAGTATTTTTATCTATTAAAGCGAAGGCTATACTTGACATATGTCTCCCTTAGGGAGTAGATGTCACACTCGAACGTTAACCATCGTGCATACTATGTTCTACAAATAACGCTACCTAAGACCCTTTACCGAGTCTCGATACAAACATTACATCGTCAAATGCTCTGCTGGTTGCGACAAACGAGGCTTTAATTTCGGGCCGTTACTGTCACACATTCGGGAACGATGGGATCCCAGAGAAGGAAGCGGGGGCAATGGGTACTTTGCGTTCGATGACGAAGCATGTTGTGTGAAGGACTGCAGTCAGATCGGTTGATTTGGTGTGTGGAGCTCCTCGACACCATTAGCCGAGGCTATCATCTCGTAATGCTCACCTCTCCTACCGTATTCCTGTTCGTGGCGTTGGCCCCCAATGCGAGCCCGTTTCAGCTTAGTCGGTTGGTGTCGTCTAACGCTTGGCTGCCGTACAAAAACGCATCTCAAGAGATCTTCAACCTCACTTAATCCCTCGATACAACTCGCTACCAGGCTCAGACGCTTTCGCAAGGCTCAGATAAATAATTAGCTTCCTGATCTCTCCTTGTTTAAGCTTCGTGCTATCGAATTCACCTTCAACTATGAGTCGCACGGCTGAGCCCGAAGAAGAGATGACAGAGCTACCGTATGTGTGCTCACTAGATATTTGAGCGGATAGTGACCTTTGTAGGCGGCAAGACATTAACACTGCGCTCTTGGACCGTCTAGAAGACGAAGGAACAACGCCTCCCAGACAGCGCGGCTTGAAGATAAGAGACTGGATGCGTCAGCTACGGTTACAAATCCTCCTCATCAGGATATGCCGACCCTTCGCCTCGAAGAGGACTTCCGCAGAACGTCGCAAAGTCGCAATATACCAAAGCCGAAGATTGGCGATATTACACGTGCTGCTGCATCTCATCCCGGTCGGTGGAGCTATGGCACTCCTCTACCTACAATGGTCGAGCTTCTTTCTTGGCTTCACTTCGCCAGTTGATCCGACTATCCTACAATTCTTCGCTAAATTCCATGAATTGCTTATGCAATTCTCGATTGTGGAAATGACAGTCTGCATCATCCGCACCGAAGCTTTACGCAACTTTGTACCTCTAGGGGCATTATCCGGCATTGCGCAGGCAACGCAGCTGTCGTACATCTGGTCCTTGGACTTTATTTCTATCTTTGTATCTCCTGTTCTGTGCGGTTGGCGCAAAGTTCTGTTTGTTACAGCGATACCGACCTTACTTGTCGGTACCGCTCTGGTCGGACCTTCGAGCGCAGTCCTTATGATACCTCGCTCACGTAGTCCTCGTGATGCCGGGAGTTTCACTTTGTACTCGAATGCTTCGTACGAGCAATTTCTCTCCTCTACTATAGGCAGAGCGAATGGTCTTCACTTGTGAGTTCTAGCCCGTTCTACATGCTCTTACTGACTCTCACGCAGTGATTGGAAGTCGATTCGCCCTTCAATGATCCAGTATGATCGGCGAAAATATTCATGGATCGAGAACGAAAACGCAGTTGAGGTAGTTTCTGAGTACGAAAACCTAGCCTCTAGGCCATGGGAGCACGGTCATCTACGGCCTGTAAGAACACGATATGATGACAACAGTGTATCGCCAGCGGTAATCAGCAACGCGACTGTGCCGACTGAGTTCATACGGCATAAGTTCAGAGAACTTTTTGAGACGTACGACAACTACACATTGTCGGTGTACGCTCCACAGCCCGTCGTTCAAGTTATCTGCAACTCAACTTCTCAAAAGTCCTTTGAATCGGACACTGAAGTAAAATACGTTGAAGATATCACGCTCAAAACTGTTACAATATCGACGCTTGGCACGTTGATCCAGAAGCTGAACAATTCTGGTGAAACATATACTCATGAACACGATGTCACCATCCAATCTTTTGAGCCTGTATGGATGGCTGCACCTGAGTCAAGATCACAAGCATGGGTCGGCATATTCTTCCAACACATCTATGACCCACAAGTATCGCGTAATGAGACGACGAGAAATGAACCGATAAAGCTTTCTGAGATGATATCATCGGTACCCAGCCTTCATAGACATGGCTCTTGGGAAGTATCGACCTGCACCTTCGATGCTTTTTGGAACAACTCTGAGGCAATCTACTTTCAAGATGGAGGCGTTGGATACAACAATCCGTACCCCATGCCGCCCTGGAATACCAGTGCGCTGAGAACCATAGGCCTGGACTACAATGATATCGACGAGCTAAGAAGCCCCAAATTCTTACAAGGGTTGACCTCCGGAGGTTTCGAACTGCACACCGCACTCGCCCTGTCGTTCGCAGTGGCCATCTCGGACATTCCGAGCCTCTCTCGGTACGACTCGGTCTGGGGAGAAGACACGTTAAGTACGGGTGTGAACAGTATGCCTCCGTTTCATTTCACCTATACATTGTACGGTTTCGGTTATGGGAATCATTCCACATCAGTCCGCCTCTCGATGGCAGTTCTGGGCTTCTACTGCGTCATCACTGTCATTTACCTCGCCTATATGCTATTCACAGGCCGTAGTTCTACAGCCTGGAATTCTTCGATCGAGCTTGTGGCTCTGGCTCTACAGTCAAAACGACCTGACCATCTGGGAAAAGTCTCTGTGGGCATCGAAAATCTTGGTACCTTCAATGAGGGGGTTGGCATACGTGCGAATGCAGATAATGAGTTGGAGCTCGTGTTCGCTCATGACCGTGACGTTGGGTCAAGGGGTCTGCGGAGGGTGCAAACGAACAAAGAATACTAAGAACGACGGTCATGGGCAACCAATGCCCCATCTGACCAGTCTCGTCAAAGTTTTAGGTATCTTCATCTAGGATGCGGTATTTCCTCTTTTTGTTCTGTCCAAAGTCAAAACAGGGCTAATGACCGCTGAATCGCTGCACAGGAATCTCCGGCGATTGTGCTGCCGATTCAGTCGAGCTTTGAGCTCAGGCTTGCGACCGACGAGGTTGCTGGCCCATCGATCGTCAACTTGGCCATCACCGTGTAAAGCAAGCAACTAGTGAGTCACTCCGCGCGCAGATTCTAGTGTAGGTGCAAATCTTCGCGTATATAGCTTTCTTACGTATCGGAATAGCGTGGTTTCTTTGCATCCCGTAAGCCTTGACGAATTAGCTTGGGATTCGCATCGTGATGTCGTTCCGGCGCGTCGGTCATCGAGGATGCTTCGACGAACACTGTAGATTGCTGCAACGCGTTGCACGCCAAAAAAGCGCCTTCTTCCATTGCCTGAATAGCTAGGATAAATCTATTCTTAAGGTGGAGTATTTCCCTGTTGAATTGTCAAGACATTGCAGTTAAAAGCAGAGAGTCGCGCAATCTTGGTGCGGTGGTCGGCTCGCTTGCCGTTCACGCTGCATGTCACTCTCGTTCTGGGACAGGGCTGTCTGTCGGTTAAATGAGTCATGAACCACGGGAACTCTTCAACGCAGAGTCTCGCCAAGGCACGGCAAACTACTGGGGTAGGAATCCTCTGACCTTCCTGGGACAAAGCTCGCGATAGTCGTGTCCTGATTGGCTTGAGTCATTCAACATTTTTTGTACGGAACGATTCTCCAGCTATTTTCCCCTGTGGGAGTTTGTGATCAGCCTGTCGACCGTCTGTTCACAGTATCAATTGACAAACGAAATGACAAGTCCGATTAGGTAGCGAAGATCGATACTTGACGGAACTATTCAGGTGGCGAAGGATTCTGACCGCTACATGGAACGCATCCTACGGCTCATGCTATGCCGCATCCCACGGCAGTGCATTGAACAATGAGCCCACTTTATCGCGCCAGGAGGGTTTAATGTCCGTCTCACGTTCTGTAAACCTTTGCAACACCGATCGTCAACATCATGGGATTGTGGGACGTGGAAGACTATGGCACCATCGCTGATAGGGCTTGCTGGTCTATGTTCGCAGTTACAGCTTGCGAGTAGCCCTCTTATGTTGCGCTGAATACCAGCTAATTGTCTTGTAGCTTTCGTGGCGTTGAGAGTCGGCACTCGCATATCCAGCAAAGGCGGTGGCCTTGGTATGGACGACTATATCACCGTATTCTGCGTCGTCGTGATGCTCGTCACCTGTATTCTGATCACAATCGGCACCCAGTACGGTCTTGGACGAAGAATGGAGGCTATCGATCCCCTGTTGATACCGCGAGCTCTCAAGTGGAATGTAATCATCAGTTCGGTACTGATATGGACGTTTTCGCTACCCAAGTTCGCCATTATCGCTATCCTCAAGCGCATTCTGGACTATGGCCTCAAGACGACGATACTATTCTGGGGCCTCGCGCTCAGCTCCCAGGCCTGTATATTGGCTACCTCAATCTGGTGGTACAAGCAATGCGATCCGGTTGAATTCGGCTGGGACAGAACCATACCTGGCGGAACATGTGCCAGTACCAAGGTCATGTCAGATTTGGGCTATTTCACTTCGGCCTACTCTGCCTTCCTAGATGTGTTCTTTGCACTGTACCCGATTCCATTCATTATGCGCCTCAACATGCCGCTCAAGAACCGTATCCTGGTCTCGATGGCGCTGGGCCTCAGTATCCTGGCCTTCATCCTCACCATCTACAAACTCACAATCTTTGGGGAGATTTTTGTCGTACTGGCGGAGAACCCGACTTGTGAGTCGTTTACCCCACGAATTTCTCAGCACAGAACTAACTTTGCTAGACCCGGTTCCGCTTCTCGATATACTGGGTCTAGGAGAGGGTTGCATTCTCGTGGTATGCTCCTCTTTGCCCACGCTGGGCCCGCTCTTCCGCTTGGTCCGAGGCAAAGTAAGGACTCTCAGTGGCAGTAAGAACACCAGCCAGAGACGACGCAGCAGCGCCACCCACCGAGGGCTATCTAGCACCAGCGGAAGATGGGATAAACTCCAAGGGCATCAATCGGGTGACGAGGAGAGGACATCGAGCCACGCAGGTGAAAGCATCGATGACATCCCGCTTGTTTACCACGGCGCGGACCAGATCCACAAGACACTTGAGTTTGAGGTGACCACGAGTGCAAAGGGTGACCGACGGGCGAAGCCAATTGACGATCGTGACACTTAGCTTGGTGTCAATGTGGGGGCCAGTACTTCCTCTAGGCATCTACACGCGCCATAAGGCAGCAGCATCGTGGTGATGACCTGATTAGGCAAGCTTTGGTGTTGTTGAATGTTGTTGCGGTAATGTTATCAAGGTGAAGAACAGTGGAAGAATGCGACTTGAGCGGGAAACAAGAGCAACATTGGATTTCATGTTTCCACAAGAAGTCTCATGTTCCCTTAGTGAGAACCTTATTCCATGTCCTTGATACAGGCTTTTCAGCAACACCAAGATTCAACTGCTACAATACATACCAATCAGTAGATCCTGCCAAGGTCGCTCGCACGTGTCCAAGGGACTGTATGCCAAGCACGACATGCCGAAAATGGCGTGAGAAGTACGTGGGTGGCCGAACAGGTGGGTCTGCCCCTGAGATACCCTTGCTCACTCCAATTCCGGATACCGTGTCCTCAACTGATCAGTGCTCACCAATTCAAACTGCACGGTATCAAATCGTGCGGCGTATTCAATGTAACTCAAGAACAATCACTGTATCGAGGAGCCGCGTGACCAGATGATACCTAAAAAGTTTGGCCATCCCGATTACATAGGGTTGCTGAGGACAGATTACGTATTAGGAAAGGTTCATGTAAGAAAAATGGACCTTCGTATGCGCTTAGCTCTTACAAGAAATCTGCTAACTTCTATAGTATTGGGAACCCTCTAGTCAACCGGCAGACATGGTCAGAATCCTGCGGTAGATAAGAACATTTCACTTTGTCAAATAGTAGACCGCGTGCCGTTTCCGTTGTTCCTGCATCGTTCCGCAGAAGTCAATTTCTATTTCCAACATGGCATCAGCAGACCAACTTATCGGAGCCCTGGAGGGCCTCGACGCGAACTCCTTCGTGAACGAAGCAGAGCGCGTCCGTGCCATGGACGCGCTGTCGCTGGCCTTGAGCAAAGTACAAAAGCCGTGGGACATTGTTTGGCAGCACTGTTGGGTCAACCCGGCCACCAATGCATGCGTCAAGACGTTGATTGACGCGGGTGTCTTCAGCAAATGGATCGAGACGGGAGGCGGCGAAAAGACTTGCGCGGAACTGGCCGAGTTGACGGGTGCTGATGTAGTGCTTGTTCGTAAGTTGCATATCTACTTCGCTTAACTCAAGATGATCATTCTGACGGCAATGCAGGACGTATGATTCGGCAAATCTCTGGGCAGAATCTTGCCATCGAGACCGCCGAGGACACCTATGAACCTACACCGTGGATACGCGCTCTTGCTGAAGATCAGGCCCTCGCCAATGTCTATGGTGAATTTTATGGCTTCGTCAATTCCCCTATGTTCAGGACTTTGCCTGCCTACCTCAAGAAGACGGGATACAAGGTTCCTACTAACCCCAACGACTGCAACTGGCAGTTCATGAAAGGCTCGAATGAAAATTTGTTCCAGTCCCTTGGCGCGAACCCTGCCGCTGCAAGGGAATTCAATGATGCCATGGAAAGCCACTCCAAGCATAACCTGACGCCCTGGGTTGATGTTTACCCAACCGAGACTCTTGTAAAAGAATCCAAGCCTGACCGGCCCCTAGTTGTCGATGTCGGTGGTAGCAAGGGTCACGACCTGATCAAGTTCCATCTGCGCCACCCTGATATCCCTGAGGGCAGTCTGGTGCTTCAAGACCTGCCCGATATTCTCAAGGAGTTGACAATTGACGACACCATCTCCATCCACCCACATGACTTTTTTGAACCACAGCCCGTGAAGGGTGCTCGTGTCTACTTCATGCACAACGTGCTCCACGACTGGGAAGACACACAGGCGAAGCAGATTCTTTCTCACCTTGCTGGAGCTATGGAACCCGGATACTCAAAGCTGCTCATCCACGAAAGTTTGGTCAGCTCTGTGAAGCCGCTCGCTCGTGTGACAACGTCCGATATCACCATGATGGCGTGCCTTGGTGCGAAGGAGAGGACGGAGGCTGAGTGGCGGGGGCTGGTGGAAAGTGCGGGATTAAAGGTGCTTAACATCTGGAGACCACCTCACTCCGTGGAAAGTGTTATTGAGGCAGAGCTAGCTTGAATCGCTATTAAGATAGTTGCTACGCCTGCCTCTTGCTTTAAGGCGGAATACAACCTCCTTGATTCTTCGACTGACATCATGCTACGCCCACTGCCTACAAAGCCGCTTTTTCCTAATGAAGATTTGCCGGCCCTGTCTGCAAATGACCACACATATCATTGTGTGCACATTTATCAGGACGATCAGCACGAATCCGTGACCGAATCACTTACCTCAAACTTTGTCTCAACGTGTATATCGTTCGGGATTGAAGCATTGGGTATCTGGACACAAAGCCTTGGCGATGTGTGACACTTGTGGATTCTCATTAGCATGCAATGTCACATGTATCAACAAACGTCGATGCCTAGGTAAAAGTTTAGACAGTTTGCACAGACCGACGCCTCACTGCAGTATTCAGGTTGGCAAGTGTCTCGCGTGTCCCGGTACATGTCGTCGCGCCAGCCACAACACGATCATCACTATTGGAAGCTGAAGATTGAGTAATGGCTGTCTCAGCAATGAAAGATGGACTGTAGTCTGATTTGGTCACTCCTCGACCTGGCTTGGTTCCACTGGAATCACTACCTTCCATGTGGGCTGACTGGAAAGTGTCTGTATATTGTCCCCAAGATCTAGCATTCGAAGAGCTTTTCCTGGAGGCATTGCGTCCCACCACGTCGTCAGTAATACTAAGTTTCACAGTGCCTTCGCATCTATATTAGCATCATCTTAGGCAAATCATGTGCTTGTCAGGTTGTGCGATTGCTCCACACAAAGTTGGAGGTGGCTTGTCTTTTCGTAGGGTGTAGAAAGAAGTGTTCAAGTTTTGTAATGTAGTTCTCCGGATAGGTCGAAGACGGACGACAGACGCCATGTGCTCAACACAAAGAGACATGACGCATCCTTTTTATCTCCTTCGTGGGCGCCGTGAGTCAACAAAGCCAATCGCTCGTATGGGTGTGGACCGTGCTACCTCTTTTGATTCGAGCCGTTACGTGATAAGTCTGAAAGAGGGGCAGGCGCAACGTCCCGTCCCCACCTCCATCTCCGGTGTGGAGGGGCACTAACCCAGGGTGGAATAGCTCTAGCTGGGCCTATTGGCAGAGTCAATTACTTCACAACTACCTCGACATCTACACCACCTCCGCTGATACTCACTCCGGTAGATGCGTCCCACACTCGTACCCCAGGATCACCGATCATGGGTTCACAGCCCATCCATATCACGTGGCTCCGCTCTGGGCCGGGAGAACGACAGCCGCGCCCTGTCTGCTGGCTGACCTGTCCGTTCCCCTTCGCATCTTCCATGTAAACCGCAGTCGGCCTTCGCTCATTCGCACATGACAAGGACATGGTGGAGACCAAGGAAAGGATTTGCGGTTGACCGGCGGCGAGAAGACTACATGGCAAAACGGCCTTCAAGCTAAGCATCGCATGACCCTTCTAAGTAGAGCCCGCGCACAGCAAGTTCACGACTGTCGGAGCTGGTTTCGCCTTCTCCTGTGGATGTCATCGCAGACATCCGTATTTAGACTCGGACGGGTACACAGGCTTCCTCATGCCTTCTACAACGACCCTCAAGATGTAGGCTGGAAATTCAGCTAGGGATGGCACGAGGCGCTTGTTATTGTGGCTACTAAAAAGTGCTTGATCCAAATCGGATTAAGGCCTTCCCCTCAGGTAAGCCAAGAAGGCGTATTAGGCCAAGAAGGCGTATTGTGCCAAGAGGGCGTCTTAGGCCAAGAGGGCGTATTAGGCTAACAGAAGTAGAAGTAAGAGATGCTGATAGAGACTAATATTAGGAGGATGAGAATCGAGCGATGGTGGCAATCATTTCGTAATGGTAACTAATGTCTAACACATATTTACGCCCTCCAAACGCGGCGGTGCATGGAGCCCGTCCGCCCTGGTGATCCTAGAGCAGCTTGTGGAGGTATTCGGAGACCGAGGATTCGATTATTTACTGTACTAGAGGTTAGATAGGGCTTACTTGACGTAGTAGCCCGCGTAGTTGTTGCTCTTTTTGTATTGTCCAAAAGCAGGGACCGGTCTGGTTAACGACTGTGCCTTGCTCCCACAGCATGACGTTCGATCGATTTCTTGGCTACTCGATTGGCAAGCCGCTATTATGCAAGGTCCATGCTGTGCAAAAAGCTTACTTGCAGAGGGCGAGTATTGATCTCCCCAATAAAGTAACACGGAATAGGTATTCACTAGGAGAAACCAACAACTCGCACAGATCAGATTCTCCAGCGTCAGCAGGCTCGCTGACTACATCGCTTGATAGAAGGATCGTTAACGGCTAGGATTACAATACTAATGGAGTTCAACGTCATCAGGTATCATCAAGACCGAAGGCATGGTCTCGCGAAGGCTCCCAATCCTTCAGCTGGACGTATAAAGATACTCTTTCCCCTCGTGAACACTACTTATTCTACTCAGAAGATCAACAACTGCACTCACTAGCTTACCATCCTGTTCTTACTTAGCCACGACGCTCAACGCATTCTATCTATTCCATATCTCGAGACCGAAGACAAGACCAGTCAACATGCAAATCATCAATATTGCTATTTTGGCTGCCACCTTAGCCACCGTCGGGGCACATCCCTGGACTCAAGACGCCAGTGGAGCATGGGTTGCCAACAACGCATGGCGCGACGACCTTAATGGCGGTGAGTTGCTACTTTGAGGAAGCTTCGGCAGGTTACATCACTGACACGATTACAGTCCACAAGGTCCACGAGTCTTGCGCCGAAAGAGACGGGTCTAGAAATCTGCCTGATGGAGCGTTGTGCGGTTACTCGACTGATGCCAACGGTGGCATGTTCCACGGATGTAAGTGCTCTGGATCCGGGGGCCTCAAAACGAGGAAGCCTTTCTGACGAGATTGCCGCGCTCAGACTGTTATCTGGAAAATGACAAGCTCGATTGCATCCAGGGATCATGCCCTGATCCCTTCAGTCCTTGTCAATACTTAAATGATGAAGGGATCTGCGAGTTCGGCTATGCTGCGTGCCTGCAGAAAATGAGCTGCAGCGGTACATCCGGGCAGGCTGACTGTATCGGAACTGCTACAGGTGAGTTTTTCCATGAGATTTCAGCCTGAAAAGAGTGTGGCGTCTTTACTTCCATTGAGCTGTAGCTGATATAAGAATCCTAGGATGCTCTGTATGCGATTAACACTGTGGCCAGTGAGAGCCCGGTCTAAAATGCAGGGATCCCAAGTTTTGCGGTTTCTTTCAACTTCGCCTTTTGTTCTGCTTTCTGGCTTGCGTTCCTATGAAAGACTTTCCGCTGGTCACTGTAGACAGCAAGGGAGTTCACTCCCCCTTCGTCTTCACCGACCACATGTCTCAGCGACTCTGAGCTGATGCTATCAATTGGAGGATACGTCTAGTTGCAAGTTGTTTTTCAGAGTCAATCTCAACTATCTACGCTCATTCCAATACACTTATTCGATATCTATAACGGATATATCAGAAGACTGCAAGATTACTCACGACCTGACTAAAGTCGCTCATCTAGGCGACTCTTCTGCATCTGACTCCTGTCACCACGCTGCGATAGACTTCTGCTTGGTGGCATGTTCTTCCCTAAGCCTTTCATTTCGTATTCTGCGAGCGTGGCTGGAAAATCACCTTGTTTCTGCCTTTGCCCTCGTCGTTCTTATCATCGCATCTCGAAGGGTGCTGCTTTCATATCCAGGTTGTAGCGCGACCGCAGCTCGAAGAGCAGGCCTCGGGGCACCGAAGGAGCAGCGTAGTAAGGAAAAATCATGTTGGGACATGTTGAAGGCTTTTTGAATCAACTCTGATGCATCCCAAATCCATATCGCGGGAGGTTGGACGATCCAGAAGTCATACTTGGAAGCCGCAACGACCGCACGCGCAAGACCATCTGTGTTGTGGCACGGCCGCAGACTGTAGTGTCATGAACGAGGTTATCCGCACAACGATTGTCGCAAAGGCTCTTGTGTGGCGCTAAAGCTTTTTGGAGTTTAATTGGTAGCGAGAGAGATGCGGATGAAGACTAGAACGAAAGTAGTGTTAGACTCAAGTGAAGAATTGGAGTAGGAAGTTAGTTGCTTGGACCCACGTGTTCGCGCGTCGATGCATCGTCATCGGCGCGCTTGCCTTGCTTGGCCGAGGTGAGCCGAGGTCGTCATCATCAACACAAGCTATCGTCACCCCTGCTCAGCCCGCAGTTCCATGCTCCAATTCTTGCTATCAGAGAGTTGTGATGTTGTGAAGGAAGGTTGCGATGTTCACCGTACCACGCTTGCACAGCGCCGCAGGGTCCACGGCGACGCGGTTCTCGCGGCTGACGTCAGAAGCCCAAAGAGCGCGCGCGTTTGCGACCCCGCGCTTTCCATCAACACGGCAACATTCGGTGTTGACGGAACCATCTCCGTCAAGACCATCACTCCGGGAGAGGACGACCGATAGTCTCCAGCCCCTGAAACGCAACTCAAGATGCATTAGCGTAGCAGCTCCACGCGAACCAACAGCAGGAAGTGAGCCTGGCATCGATGTCACAAATGAGGATGCATGGCCTCAATGGCGTCAGAAGGTGCAATCACAGATTACAGCTGTCGACTTCTCTGCCGACAGGATCGAGAAATACGAGCTCAACAATGAGATGCTTCGAAAATTCCTTGAGAAGCCCCGAGAAGACTGGGTGACTTGTCGATGGATCAACGGTAAGGAGCCGGCGATGTGGTTTCGTCAAAGCAGCAGGCTGATCTGACTCGACCTACAGTCAACGGACTGAGCTGGGATGTGGTTCGCCTTCTAGGCGCGAAGCAAAAGCTACACAGCCTAGCTATCGAAGACCTGCTACACACAAGGAATCGAACCAAGGCAGACTGGTACCCTGAACATGTCTTTGGTATGTTTCTCAAGTCTGCGGAGGCTTGAGAGTGTATGTTGACTGGCAGACAGTTCTTTTGACTCTGCAGCGGCTGCTGCGCAAAAACGAAGGAGTTACAGACGGGCAATCACAAGCACCTCCAAGACACGTCAGCACGAACAGTCCAGCTTACCGGGAAAAGCACGTACCTGCGGAGTATCGGCAAGCTGTGAAGACATTGCAAGCGTATCGTACTGATGCAGATCCTGAACGGACACGCTACATGGAGGAGCATTCTACGCTGAACCCCAAAGGCCTCATGGTCTCTGTGGAACAGGTGTCAATGTTCCTGCAGAGTAACAACACGTTGGTATCGTTTTTTGAGCACTCTGCCGATGTAATTGAAGAGCCTATCTTAAAGCGATTGTCATCACCAGAGACGGTTCTGAGGCAAAGCGGCGATGCCAGTATGGTTATGCATGCAATTATCGATGGAATTGTTGACCTTGCCATTCCAATCGCCGCAGCATATGAGGACAGCATAGCCGAGCTGGAGCTGGACGTCCTGACGGACCCCAGTATTGCACACTCAAAGGCTTTGTGAGTCTTTGCAAGCTTTGCGATGACGACAGACTGCTCACACTCCCAGGTACATCCTTACATCCGAGCTCTCACTCCTTCGATCCCAAATCGCTCCGATCACCAGTCTCGTCAACGCCCTCCGCCAACACAACTCGAACGCTCTGATGCAGACGACCAACTCCTCTCAAGGACCCTCATCGTCTCACATCGCCAACTCTCCACCTCCGTACACGCCCAAGGATCCGTCGACAGCCTCCATCACCATCACAACACTCGCACACACTTACTTTGGCGACGTAGAGGACCACTGCATCACCGTCACAGAGTCTCTTGAGCGCATGCGGCGCTCTGCAGACCGCATGATCAACCTCATCTTCAACACGATGGGAGCATACCAGAACGAAAGCATGAAGCAGTTGACCTTTGTCACAATCCTGTTCTTGCCAATGACCTTCTTGGTGGGCTACTTCGGCATGAACTTCGAAGACATGCCGTGTCTGAAGAACAGCGATGCATACTTCTGGTGGCTCTGTATACCAGTGACGGGCACTATGGTCTTGGTTCTGATGTGAGTCTGCCCGTCCTTATCGTTGATGTAAGGTGCAGTAAGCTAACTTTGTGCAGGCGGCAACGAGTCTGGCGTGGATTGACGCGGTTCTGGCGGCGGAGAGATGCCGCCAAGTCGCGCAGGGCTAGATACTTGAAGGAACAGAAGTGGTGAACGCTCAGAGGACGGTAACCCCAGTATGTATGAGCAGCGACTGGCGATGCATTAAACTTGGGTGACTTTCCATAACTTCCAGGAGGTAGCACCTTTTGCAATTATACCAAGATCGCTGAAGAGATGGAGTTGAGATCTTGATAGGCGCGAGCAACTTCAAGTGACATTTTATTCGGCTGAGGCCAGACAATATGAGAGTAGAATTGCCAACAGAAGGACTACTAAGATAGCAAAGCTTCAAAATTGAGGTCAGCTCCAAATCATGGATAATGTGACAACGACAAGGTAATAATCTTTTTGCACTCTGATATGCTACCGAGTAGACCTTGTTCACTGCCATGTGACAAGGATTTTGGTTAATATTGAGATTTCGTGAAATGATCTGTGTTCGAAGAGAATCCTTTCCTGGACCACGGGTTTTCCTTCAGGCAGGAGGGAATGCTATGGTTCAAAAGGTCTCGTCGTCGTAGTCAAGCAATACATCCCACACGATCTTGAATCTCTCAAAAAATTCTGTAAAGTCAAGCTCGCGCACCCAAGACTTCCAGTCCAAGTCTTTCAGAAACTCGAGCTCGACGAATTGGATATAGTCGAATGGCATACCTACAAGAGATTCTAGTGTTTCAGGCCACATTGTGCCGTCGCACAGATTGCCATACGCAATCTTGACAGCGACGCCAAATCTAGCCGCCTCGATGTGCGTAGGGAGTTCATTTGTACAACTGTCCAGGATTCTGACCTTGAGGAAGAGGAACAAGGCGTAGGGAATGACGTCCTTACTTATCGCGTAGATTTCACTGCTGGTTTCCAGCCAGCGTGTGATGCGTGCGCATGTGGCTTGCATAGACACGCTGGGTTGGATTCGTGGATCCATAGGGCTGAACTTGGCCAGGAGTATCCTGAGCTTAGTTTCTGACGTGGCGGACATGATGTCGTGTAGGAGATTGGGGGGAGCGCCACTGATGAAGCTTGCTAGTCTGGTCAATTCGTCTCCTAGAAAGTATTGGGTGATATCCGCGGTGGGCACTCTGCCTGGGTTTGAGCGCGGAGTATATTCGAGTGCGGAAGCCATACTTGCCATACCATACATCTTCTGTCATTGTATTACTAGTAGGTGAGAGTAGACTTTAGTACTTGGGGTGCACTGGGTAGACCGTCGTTCGCTGCATTGTGAATGAATCCACGCTGTGCCCTCACAGAAGGCCGCAGGCAGTATTCTGCTCTGAGAATTTGCACCGCATTCTAGCCGCCATCAGAGCTGGCTGACATTGTCATCAACCCTTATGGTCAGATTGTGTTCTTGGAATCATCGCCTAGGATGACTTGGTTTCTTCACAGATGAGGGTCTATTCTGCTTTGGGCTAGATCTCCCGGCGCTCCGCAGCTTCCCGAGCTCTCTCCCCGCATGTGCGTCTGCGCGTCCTCCATGCACCCAATGGCTGTCCCACTGCCACCTGCCTCGAACCTCCACGCCATCCTCCTCGTCACCAAATCGCGGTCGCTCGGCCCTCGCCTCGTATTCCACTATCCGCCGCTATCGCCGTCAGCAGCCGCTCTCGCCGCGGCCAAAGACCCAGCCTGGTTCCGTCACGACACGTCCACGGCCAGCGTTGACTCGCGAAGCTCGGATAGCGACTGGGACAGCAGCACCGACTCGGACGATGAAAACGATATCGAATTAGGCAGCCGCACTAGTGGCGGCCGTCGATCGGGAAGAACCTTGACTGGGCGGGTGAGCGACAAGGACAAGCTGGGGTCAGGGCTATGGGGCAGGCAGGAGACGATTGACGAGGAGGATGCAGATGACGACGATGACAAAGAAGCTACTGGAAGTCGGGGCAAGGGCGGAGACCACGACTGGGGCACGGTGCTCGGCTTCAAGACGGATGCGCTGGAGAAGATGCTGAGCCCCAGCAAGGAGTACAACAAGAAGCGATTCGAGCTGGGCGTTGAGAGCATCGTCTTTCTGGGCGCGCCCATGTTCGTCCGGGAAGACGGGCTCTGGAAGAAGACGAAGCGGAAAAGGAAGAAGCGATCGGACAAGCAAAGACTTGAAGATGGCGATCTGATGAAGAATCTCACAAGTGCCAGCGATGACGACGACGACGCCGACGCCCCCGAAGCGCCTGCGAAACCCGTCCCGGAGCCGTTCAGAATGCCCGAGGGATTCGAGCCAGGCTACGGCCATGGTTCCATGTCCAGCGGACCCTCAGGCGCTCCCTCAGAGGCTGGATCCGACGCGCGGAGTAACTCGACAAGCCACGACAACAACAACAACCCCGACATGACCATGTTCAACGTCGTCTTCGTGCTGAATCCGCCTGCACTCGAGTACCAGCAGCGCGTCAAGGAGATGTACGATAACGTTACGCGCAAGTACGCCAAGGCACTCAAGTACGAGGAGGCGCGGTTTCAGTACGTTTGGAAAGAATCCAAACGCATCATTGACATCAAGCAGCGGGCCAAGGAGACCAACGAGTCTCTGACGGCGACGTGGAAGAAGATTGTCAGCACATCACCGCTTGCCAAGTCCATCGCCATCATGTTCGATGCCATCTCGCACGACAAGATAGCTCACATCCACTTCGACGCGACGTTCAATACATCCTTCCAGATTCCACAAGCCGATTCCACGCCATACCTCCCCACCGCCATCGAACCTCAGATGCCAGGCCTATGGCTTACGACCTCGAACGTTATACTAGAGGACGACGATGCACCCATGACGCAGCATGCCGCCCTGTTGCTTCTGGAGGATGCCGAGGTGCTGATCAAGGACCTCGGCGGCGACGCTGGTGGGAATGCGGCGGCTATCGCCTTCTACATACGCAACATCGTGCCCACCAAGTCGCTACTGAAGATCTCCAAGAAGCATAATATATCAGCGCAAGACATGGAGTACATAGCCAGTCATCTCGTCTATTGGCGGCGCGCACGTCTTATCGCTCCTTTGTCACCACGCGACACGTACATCGTCAGTCCGAATGCCGATATGACTGTTCTCCCGGCCGCGATTTCAGTCTACGCACAGCGCTTCCCTACGTTGCCTACCCTACCCAAGGTACTGAGCATGCTTTCCGGTACGCCCCGACCGTACAGAACCTTTATACCCACCGCCGAGCATCGCGATGCCTACATGGAGATTTTAGCATGGCTTATGCGTGGAGGCTGGGTCACACAATTGCGCACATTTGCCTGGGTACGGGTAACGCCTGAGATCAAAGCGCAAGTGGCAGCCGAGATTGAGCGGGAAGAGCGTATCAAGAAAGCCGAAGAGGCGCGCAGAGAGTTGATGAGCGACAACGATTCAGTAGCCGACAGTCTGCTCTCCGACAAACGAAGCAGTTTGCTTTCTCTAAACTCGGTCAGGACCTCGTCCCCTCTGCGACGCACGCGGCGAGATGCGGATGAAGACATGGACAGCAGTACCATACTGAGCCCGCGTCTCGGGTCGACAGCCATGTCACGGAACTCTTCTGCTCGCACCGGGTCTGACGCCGGCAGTACGAGTAGTCAGCGCACAACCATCGCGCTCAACCCATCGCAACGAGCAGAGTCACCAACTTATCTCGGGCTACGAGACGCAAAGCCCCATCGTCCGTCACCGCTCCATCTCAAGCCCGCCTCGCCATCGCCATCGCCATCCCGCACCTCGATCGTCTCACCGACATCTCCCGTCGAGAAGCTTACACTACCAGACCCCGCTTTGTTCACCCACACCACCATCCTTTCCCCACAAAAAGCATCATCTATTGAGGCCAGGTGGCTTGACAAGATTGCCCAGACTTTTGAAGAGACTGCGATGATATCGGCGAATCCGAGCCCACCGAAACATGCAGATGGTGGCTTTGGTGGTATAACGGGCAAGGAACTGCGAGAGAGCTGGCCTATGCTGCTGAGGCATTTGGACGGTAAGCATGCGATTGAAGATGTGTCGGCTAGAGAGGGCATTAAGCGGAAGAGAGTTGCTGTGCTCTTTAATGCGGTCAAGGAGAGGGGGTGGCTGGTCATTGCGCGGCATTGGTGAGTGGTGTAAATGATGCAGTGTGAGGTTTTTGATTCGATACCCGCGCGTTGTAGCTTTGTTCCATAGTTCCGTCGGCCATTTTTGACTTTGCATTGGTAAAGATTTACAACGCCTTGGAGATCTTGCGAATCAGGATTCTTCAGGGGCCATGCGACCATGTCCTTTGGCGAAGCGTGACCATGGTCTGCGAGGTGCGGCAACCAAGGTCACTATGATAGAGATTTCTATCGTTCTCTGGGAATTCTGGATAAATGTATATAATATCTTCTTCCCGTTCATCATTTTTCGTCTTCTGCATTAGACTCCACTGCGCAAGTATTCTTCTCTAAGCCAAGAAGAGGAATATATCATCTGTTTACACCAACATCCAACCATCCACCACACCAAGGGACCTTCAACTCCAACCATTACAACAATGCGCAACGTCCTCGTCACCATTTTGGCCACGGCCTCCACGGCCCTTGCCTGGTATGATCACCCCAGCATGGTCACCGAGGCACAAACGACCGATGCTACATTCCTTCTCCCCTCCTCCAGTGCGACCTCCCCAACTTCGACGGGAAGCGCAACCACCAGCGCACGCCGTCTCGTCACCAGGGTGACCAGGGCGCCCTCCGTGGACCCCACCACTCTGGCTACTATTGCGCGTTCCAACAAGGAAGAACGCGACGATCCACGCGTCTACAACAATGGCTGGCGAACCTGGATATCAGAGTACGATGGGCGCATGATCACCGTGAAGCCCTGTGTCAAGGCTACAAGGTAAGTAAACACTAATACCGCGTTTATTCCCCTTCGAGAAGCGAAAACAGAATTGGCTGATGTAGAATGCGCCCTGTTCTAGCCTGACTAATTACCACGGCACACACCCACTTACCCTTCTCCAAGGCAATAGATGTCGTGGCTGCAACCGTGTTCTCGATCCGAATGATGATGGAAGGTATAATGGAAGGTTTAGGGGCGGTCATGATGGGTGGCGCGATCATAATAAGAATCTTAATGATCCTCAGCTTGAGAATAAGTGTCCGTGAGCAGTGACATGGGAGGGAGGGGGAAATGTAGGGTATGGAGGGCTTGGAATGGCTGGAGTGGTATTGGGGTATCTAGAGTTGCAATCTTTCTGATGGATAGATTGCTATTACAGGTGTATTTCCTAGATACTTTATATTCGCTGTATGAAGCTGCTGTGATAATCGGAGCTCTATCCCTCTTCTTCAGATATAGATGGTCATATTGTTGGCTTGGTTTAGTTTTGGTGAGTTTTGTTAGTCACGTGAGTGGTATCTTAGAGGGTTTGTGGTACTGAGAGAACCACTTTGAGTTTGCGAGTTCTGTGCTACATCGAGGATCCAATAATCATGTGAAATCTTGTGGGTGGCTTCCGCATTATGCTATCCTCAGGCTGGCAACTTCGCCACGAAGAGTTGAACATCATTGAGAAAGAAAATGCCTCAAATTATTAAACTACTATAGGGGTAGTTGCTGCGCTCCACGATGATAGAGATATAGTCTCACACTGCAACATCCTTCACAGCGGATCTTGGATTGTCGCCCGGTGAAGTTGGCTTTCTCAGTGGCAGCCAAAGCAAGTCTTGTTTGACCAGCCTGATCCAGAGTTGTTGAACAACCGGTATGAATGCCTCACATTATCATGGTTCTGATCTTACGATTTGCCGCTGTTCCATTGGTTGCGCATCCAAGCTTGACCCTCATCCATGGATACATCCCTCTGTACCACGAAAACCTTGAACCGCAAATTTCGAGAAGAGAAGAACAGAACGTATTTAAAGTCGCCAAAGTTCTTCTCCAACTCTTTTCATCAATCTCCACAAACCGTTCTCTCGAGAACTCCCTTCGTTTTCCCAAGATACCAACACTACACCATGAGGTTCACGCTCGTCATCACCGCCCTCGGCTTCTTCGCGACGTCCGCTGTTGCAACCAGAGAATGGTCATACAACGACCACCGCAGAGCTGTAGTCCTAGCAAGCCTAGAGCAAGGTAATCACCCTGCTGCCCATACTGTTCTCCTGCTACCCCCCTCCACCTCTGTCTAATTCCAGGCCGGTCCTGTCTAACACCCCCAGCCAAAGCCAAGCATGCCGACCTCTGCAGGCGCTGGGACGGTCCCCGCTGCCTCGACGACGAAGACAAGCCCTCGCCCTGGGAAATGAACTACCTCGAACGCAAGACAGCCAAGATAGAGAAGCAGGAGGCTGAAGACGCGGTCGAGAAGATTCATGCACTCTGGAACAAGTGGAATGCGGAGCAGGCGGACATGTTGAGCAAGGTGAAGAAGGGAGGGAAGATGTATATGGCGCTGCTCGAGGAGGTATCTAGTCTCGCGGATGTCGATGCGGTTACGGGTGTTGATGCTCAGTGCCGGGGCTCGTGTTAGTGACTAGACAGTGTCAGGTGGTAAAGCTTGTTGAGAGCAAGATGGGGGTAAGTGGGACTCATAAGAAGCTAGATGTGTACACCGTCAGACCTTTTCACTTCTCGCGCATCTAAGAATGGTGGATGGCACCGAGCACCTTTACAACGCGTTGTGATAGTCATAGTACAATGGATGCAAATCACATGCTTACAAACCCTTCAAAATGCACTTCACTGCTGCATGAAGTCGCGACTACATTCTCGTTTCACAGCACTGTGCAAATGTGCTGTTGACATCAACCCGCCTCTCCCCAGGAATTAATTCCCTGAGTTAGTGACATGATCGACTGACGACCTCAACCACCACCGCAACAGCGTCCTGGCTGATATGACCACATCGACGTTTTCTCACAACGCCCTTCCACCCCTCAGCCCACATCAGCCGTACACCGCGCCCTTTCTTGCTCGTCTCAGTCTGTTCATATTGCACGCACCACTCCCCATTGTGAAGTCTACGCTCGACACAGCTACGCATAGCGACAAACTCTCACAGGTTGACCAGCATAGTGAGGTCTTTCAGCCCGAAGATTTCACAAGTGCCATGTGTCAACGGATATTGCGCCTGTTCAACGAGTTGGTCATCATGTTTCCTGGTACCACTCATCCCAGTCCAGACACCATCCCTCTTGCGCTATGTCTGCTTTTCCGATATCGTGTAGCTCTCGCTTCTACATCCCCACGTGAAGCCACAGCGAAGTATGACGTACTGTGTGCAAGCGAGCGCGTCTTAGCTCCCGTCCCATGCTACGTCTCCACCCCAGTTTCAGCCACACAGCTTAGTGACGCCACGCTCATTGCTCTTTCCGTGCACATCGCGTACAAGTTCCTTGCGGATGACAAGAAATGGTCAACCCTGCAGCATTGGGTGAGATTACTCGAGGCGAATAAACGGAGCACGTTGGAAGCCGAGAAACGTTTCTTGAGAACGATTGACTACGTCGTTTGGGTCCGACAAGAAGAGTTTGTGCATCTAAGAGATGCGTTTGAAGGTCTGTGGAACGTGGTACTTAGCAAGACTGCTGGGCCTGCACCACCAGACTTCGTACTAAAGAGAATACGGAAATTTACGTGAATTCGACCTGGCTCCGAATATGCTTGAGGTGGGGCGATAACATACTTCCCACACGTGGACACGTGGTCAAGCGCGTCCGTCATTGATGAGAGCACATCGCGTCGATTGACTTCCTCTCGAACAACAATGACCAAAGGACTGAATATGGACTACATCACGATATGCGTGCCTCCATCAATGGCAGATCTTCTTTCCAAGAGTGGTTTTGCATTAGGCAATATCTTACCGGGGTCCATGGTCATCGTCACCTACCATCTGCCCCTCGCTTCTTGGCCTGGACGCATTGGTATCGACGCGCATGATGCATTCCATCGCAAAAAGCAATCCTTGCACTTACGTCACTCCATCTCGAACGCGACTGATGATAACCCGACGACTGCGTTGTATTTAGCCTCTTACGCATGTGGCATGCAACGTTCAGAGAGACGTATCCCCAGCACGCATGCTGCTTCAGCATCCGTCATTGATCTTTCCCCGCACTCGCGGCATTTCCCCTTTCTTTTCCACCACCTGCATAAGCGGATATGCAATGCACGATCGACCCATAGTGTTGCCGGATTATTGGTGTTCCTGGACTGACTAGTGCAAAGGCGCGACGTTTGCGATTATATCATGACATCAAGACCCTGATTCAGTCTAGGGGTCTCCATCGCGATCTGCGAAATCCCCATGCTGCTGTTGATTCTGCATCATTAACTGCCTCGGAAGGCATAGGCTGACATGGCCTGGAAGGATCCACGAGATTTTTAGACTGGATTGCATCATGTTCCTGCGCCTTAGCGCGCGGCCCGTCCACGATGGATCTGAGATCTAACGTGTACGCGAGATGGACGCGTGAGATGTGCCACGACGCGTTGGCATCTTATGATGTGCCGTGACGTCGTGATAAATATGTCGAGGTCAGCCATTAATGTATAAGTATCCCATGTGAAAGCACTTTTTGTGGTCATCAACCATCAATCTACTCTCTTCAACAAGTACCATCTCGACCAACCACTCCCACTTTCAATCAAACATACATCATCAATATGGCGGACCAGCAGTACAAGCCCACTGGTGAGCAATACAACTACTTGCCTACTTCGCAAGAAACTGACTGGTAAACAGAGCACGGAGGCCTCAAGCAGGACGGCACCCCAGACAAGCGCGTCGGTACTGGCGGTATGTCTTCACGATCTCTCCAAGGCCGCAATCACGCATGCTAACATACGAGCCAGAGTTTGCCCAGGGCAAGGTCGACCCCCATGAGGCTGGAAAGCAGGGTGGTGCTACATCCGGCACTGGAAGCACCGACTCCTCCACTGGCTCTTCAGGATCCGGCGGCAGTGCCAAGGGCGAGTTTGCTCACGGCAAGGTCGACCCCGTCGAGGCTGGAAAGAAGGGTGGACAGACGTCTTAAATGCTCAAGCTTTATACCCGAGATCAATCTTTAGGACATCTCTGCTGCAAGATATAGTCATACTTCCGATCAATGAAGTTATCGCATACGCTGCAAGCTGAATTTGGCTGATAGTTGGTGCTGCTCACTTGACCCTGTAGTGCACAATGTGATCTCATGGCTTTGTCTAACATACGATGACCTCAAAGCGAGTGCAGCGTATCGAGTGATGGCCTAACAATAATCATCCTACTGCGAAGACTGGTCTGATGTTGATTCTTCTCTGTAAGCAAGCTCTCCCTATACGCTTTCCTTAAGGGCAACCTTGTGTATTACCGTTTTGCGCAGCACTTTTCAGATGCGACAACTTGAAAGTCTGGACCATGAATGATATTGACATCATCATGACTATTCAGATGAATGCAGTGTCGTGGTTGTAGTCGCGCAGGCTGTCGCTCGTGTACCCCGCAATACGGTTATAGCTAGCGTTCACCTAGCGATTAGTGTTACCAACGCTATTGTCCGGCACATCTTTAGGCTAATCACCATACTTTCCCATCGTATTTGAAATACGACGTATCCGCAAGCGCGGGGAGTGCCTTTGAGTCTTCCCGAGGAGGAGGTCTGATATGTATGGCAACGGTCATGGGGTTCAAAATACGACGTATCAACGATAGCATCTTGCGTGCAGCTTCGCTTACGGCAGTTGGAACAACTATAAGAGTCTCAATAGGCAGGGCTGGGGCTGCTGTAGTGTTTAACGGTGGTAAAGAGCATTCTTGAATCTTCACGACACCGTTTCTAACCCTCATTATCTCACGCGACACTAGCAATATGCGTGTCGCTAAGATCGTAACACTACTTTCCACGTCATTACCTCTATGTTCTGTATGGGCTGGGGATGCGCCTGTCCGAGTCCCTCTTTGTAAGCTACCCAAATAGCCAAGCACGGGTGTTTCGAGCTTGGTGATAGCTGACCAATTTCACTAGCTTGGACTGAGGCGGCAGTAAAAGCCACCCATTTTGTTTCTCAGCTTAATACCACTGAGAAGATCGACCTCGTCACTGGTAGTTATGGCTCCTCTCCAGCCCTACCATGTGTAGGCATGCTCGTGGCAATTGAGCGACTCAACTACACTGGCCTGTGCCTGTCCGACGGCCCCGCTGGTTTGTCGCGTTCGGACGGCGTCAGTGTGTTTGCTTCCGGTATCACAGTCGCAGCTACATGGGACAGGCGACTGATGTACGAACGCGGACTTGCCATTGGACAAGAATTCAGAGCCAAAGGTGCGCATGTTCATCTCGGGTAAGCAAATCTACATGCTCCACATACACGCGATTCTTGTATGTCACAATCCGGCTGCTGGCCTAATGAGTCGTCACGCTCAAAGTGGACGCAATTGAGAGGGCTTCGGACCAGACCCTTACCTTGCGGGTGTCGCAATGAACGAATCCATATTTGGAATTCAGGGAGCCAGTGTGCAGACCTCCTCATAGCATTACATCGGTAACGGACAAGAAACCTAATGTACCCGTTCTACCCGCGAAGATGGAACAGTAATAGAGGCGGTATCTACTAATATTGACGATCGGACACTCTATAAGTTATATATCTGGCCGTTCGCTAATACTGTCTATGCAGGGACAAAATCTGTCGCGTGTGGTTGCAATTGTGTTGACAACATTTACGCTTGCGCTAATCTAGAAATACTGAATCACCTTCTCAAAGACGAACTCGCCTTTCCAGGATACGTCGTTTCTGACTGAAAGACTACGCATTCGACGGTTGGAACAGTAAATGTAGGACTAGATATGGAGACACCTGGAACCACGAGTCCCACTGGAATCTTCTACTTTGGCGACTCGCTCGCTGATACGATCGAAGCAGGCAACATCTCACCCGCCCGCCTTGACGATATGGCGACAAGAGTTATGACGCCATACTTTCGGCTGGGTCAAGACGAGGACTTCCCTGTTACTGATCCTGCCAGCTGACCTGTCTTCCTCACTTACACCTATGGTCACCAATCGCTCTTGGCCGCATCCTTCCCCGAGGTCCCTGCTTGGGACGTTCGTGGCGATCACGCAAAAGGCATACGTGAGTTGGGTGCGGCTGGCACCGTGTTACTTAAGAAACTTGAACAACACTTTGCCATTGTCAAACCAAACAAGCTTTGGTCTCTTTGGTAACGATCTTCCCGATCCGACTATCGGTTCAATCTTTCTCGACTATGGTAACGCTGCAGTGGATTACCCGATGGGGAACTCTTGATATCGGCGGTGGATCTGGAACGGTACGACACACAAGCCTCGTTAGTCCACTTGAAGCCATTCGAAACAAGGTCCGTTCTTTAGGTGGGCGCATTCAATGGCTCTTCGACAATGACGAGATTGCGGACGGAAGGTTTCGTTCGATCTACCCGGTACCGCAGGTCTGCTTGATTTTCCTCAATGCTTTCGCAACAGAAGGTTCAGATCGGCCTGATCTGGACTTCCATTGGAATGCTACCCTTGCGGTGGAGAGTACAGCAAAGTTGTGTCCCAACACTGTCGTCGTCACACATGGCCCTGGTGTTGTGTTGATGCCTTGGGCTGAAAACGAGAACGTAACGGCTATTCTGGCAGCACATTGTCCAGGAGAGGAAATCGAGAACTCTATTACTGATGTCCTCTGGGGCGACGTAGAACCATCTGGTCGTCTTCCGTATTCTATCCCAAAGCCTGCAGCGGATTACGGTCCACCCATTGTGGAATTGCCTCGCAATGTCACTGATCCAGATGCATGGCAGGCAGATTACGTCGAAGGTCAATTGATTGACTATCGTCGCTTCGACGCGAATCACGACTTGGAGCCGCACTACGAGTTCGGATTTGGACTTTCGTATACCAGTTTTGTAATGAGTCATGAATTGAATGTCGAGCTTCGTGGTGTGCCTTTGACACCTGTCCCTGATAAGTCGAAAGGAATCGCACCGGGTGGACTCAGGGATCTCTGGACCGTGGTCGCTGTGGCTACGGTGAACATCACGAATAACGGTGGCCGGGCTGGCTCTGCTGTACCACAGCTATATCTGTCCCTTCCTCAGGAAACAACTCCTGCAGGCACGCCCGTGAAAGTCTTGAGAGGTTTCGAAAAGGTGCATCTCCTACCAGGTGAGACGCAAGCGGTGACGTTCAATTTAATGAGGCGAGACGTTAGTTTCTGGGATGTCGACAGCAAGACTTGGACCATTCCAGCCGGGTCGATTCGTTTCACGGCAGGGTTCAGCGCAAAGGACTTGCACGCAGTACGTGACGTTGAAGTTTTGGTCTAGATTCTACAACGGGAAAGGCATTGATCTATGTCTAGAGGAAATCTAATCGTAAAACATCGGAACTGAAGGCTCTTTCAAAGCTAGTTCTTCGCCCAAACCAAGCCTCCAGCGTTCTTGCCAGTACCCTCTTCAACGTACCTGCAGGTAGTGAAGCTCTGCCATAGATCGACAAAGAAGTTGCTCTTTTGCTGGATGTAGCGTTCGCCGAGGAGAGGAGCAATAGCCCATGTGGCTTCCTCCGCGTGGTAGAAGGGAATGCGGGGGAACATATGGTGGACGACGTGGTACTCAATGATACCATGGAAGATGTGGCGACCAATGAAGCCAAAGTCGCGGTCAACAGTGGAAGCAGCGCCCTTGATGAAGGTCCAGTTCTCGGCCTCGTAGTGAGGTGCGTCCTCGTGTGTGTGGTGAAGGTAGGTAATAGCGACAATCCAGTGGTTCATCCAGAGGTAAGGGAGACCGTATGCCAAGAGAGCGGTTGATGTGCCGACGCTCCTCGAGGCAAGGTAGATGGCGCTCATGGTGAGGATAAGTCCAACGTTGCTCAGGGCGACAAATGGCGCCTCTGAAGGAGTGAATACGGGCGAAGTCGGGTCCAAATGGCTTTGCTTGTACTTTGACTGGGAAGCCCGGTCGCTCTTGGTCAGACTCTTCGGTCCGGCACCGGCGTTCATCAAGATGTAAGCAGGCCAGCCAAGCACTTGGTGGAAGATAAGAGCGCCGACTTGGATGAGTGGTGTGTCGGCAGCGGCATGGTCCATGATCTTCTCCATGATGGATGGCTCGGTGGTCCTGGCCATGGCATCAGACTTTCGGTGAGGGACGAAAACAGTGTCCTTTTCCATGTGGTTGTGGTAGCGATGATGACGTGCGTGGCTGAACTTCCAGCTAAAGAACGGCACCATCAAAATGCTGTGGAGGAACCAGCCAGTCACAGCGTTGACGGTAAGGTTGTCAGAAAACGAATCATGGCCACAGTCGTGGGCGAGAATCCAGAGGCCGGTAAAGAAGCATCCCTGTACAAAGCTGTAGAGCGCCCAAAGCGGGACCGTGATAAGGGGCGAGGCGTCAAGTTGCGAAAGCCGGACGGCAGAGTAGAAGAGTCCGCTTACGATGATAAGATCGCGAACAACGTAGGAAAAGGAGCGGATCATGGAGCGCTCGAAGCACTTTGCTGGAATAGCGTCCTTTAGGGTCTTGACGTCTGGAATCGGAGTTGGTTTGACATCGTCGGCCACGGCAGTGAACCTAGTCTTTACAGGCGCTGCCTGTGTGCGGGACGTTGTTGTAATCATGGTCCAAGGAGGTGAGAAGGGAGGGAGGAGCGTGCAGAGCGTGCCGTGTCGCTACTCATCCTTTTGTACCAAGACGCGTCCGGGTGGAAGGCGAAAAATCTGCTCCTTGATGTACACCAGCCTAAGCTCAATGCACTCGACCTACGTTTCAACGTCGCGAAGAAAACCGTGTGTACAAGACACCGCCTCGCGTCCATGGAAACAGTGGGTCTCTAACCGAGATTTCAACGTCAGCGCACAGTCGGCACTAGCAGTCTAGGATGAACACGTTGCGGTGAGGCAAGGGGAAGAGGCAGGAATGCCGGAAAGAGACCATAAGCACGGGGACAAGCATGTAGTATCCATGACTACAGGCCAGTGAGCTTATCGCAAGCTGCGGGAGGTGTTGCGAGACTTGGTTGGTATCGCACTCGCACTTTCATTGTTCCAAAGTTCCTTCAGGGTCCAAGAGATGAGCCGCACCGTAACCGCATCGGGAACAGATAACACGAAGCCCCGTGGGCCCTGACGATCTTGTATGGGGCTCAGCAAGTCCAAGGCGGCCCAGGCATTGGAGGAAGACCTATCGAGATCTGACCGCCCCATTGACAGCCCGTCTAAAGTCGCGCCGCAAGGGGAAGGAGATGCAGCGGTTGGACGAAGCTGCGACACCGGGAGAGCACGCAGCACGACGTGGTCAACATCATCAGTGGGGACGTCGATATTTGGCCGCATGTATGCCTCATGCGGAGTTGCAATGCTTTGTTGTTGCATGCCCAACTTGACCAAGGTGTCTTGTTCGGTGGTATTCGAGCAATCGGGTAATTCAGGGTCTCAGGTCTGGTGTGTGGGCTGGGCTGCGCGCCCGTGGGCCATCGGCGGGGCAATCCCGCAGAACGTGCGCGCAAGCCTAACCTTGGTTACTCCTTGGCAACATGGCGGTAAGGTTTCTCCGCCGCCGTTGAGAATTCTACCAGAGTTACAAAATTCTGCCAGAGTTTGGCGATTCGGTGATTCGTTGGGGTATGGCTCGATAGACGTGGATATTGAGCTAGTAGGCAACATGGGTGACAAACAAGTTAGATAGTGATTTTCTACGTCTACTCGAAGACGTCGGTAGCGAACCTCTCGTTTCGCAGCCCCTCAAACCACTCCCTAGCCTTGGCATCGTCGGCGTCCCGGCCCTCCTTCTCCTTCAACCTCTCCTTCGCAATCTTGATAAGCGTCTCCTGCACCCCATCACCAACACCTCGCGATCCGCAAACGAAGAGCTTTGCGCCCGCTTCAAACTGTTCAATGACATCGGCGCGATCGTGATAGACACGATCTTGCACGTACTTACAGCCATGCGACTCGTCCGATTTGCGTGAGAAGGCATAACGGACTGAGACGGCACCCATGTCTTCCCAGCGCTTGAGAAGATCGGCGTACATGAGGTCGTTGGACGGTGTCCGGCAACCATAAAAGAGTATAGCGGGTGCTAGCTTGCGACCGGCAGCGACCTGAGCAGCGCGCTCTTGGATGAAGCCGCGGAAGGGCGCCAGACCGGTTCCTGCTGCCATCATGATGACCGGAACATTCTTTGAGTCCTTTGGCAGGTGGAAGGCTTGGTGTGAGGGGCGCACGCTGACGTGCAACCTGTCGCCTGCCGCAAGGTTGGCGAGGTAGTTTGTTGCCACGCCCACGTACCGACCCTGGCCACTGAGGGCTGGCGCGCTGACAACAGAGTATGTGAGGGTGACGTTGTTGGGATTCCATAATGGCGACGAGGATATCGAGTATTGGCGCACACGCATGGGTGGCTGCATCTTTAGGAAGACGCCGAGTGGCAGCTTCGTAGATGGGAAGCGCTCGAGGAGATCGAGAACGGAGACGCGTTTTGCAGTAATCTCGGCGCTGAAGGTCTCGTCGGCGAGTCGCTCGAGCTGCTTCTTCTCCGCTTCATCGGGTGTAGCTTCAGCCAATGCAACGACGTTGCGCTTGCTGGCGGGTTGGGCGAGTTCTACGTAGGCACCCAAAACATCGACAGCGCTGAGGGGCGTATCCGTCGGGAGAGTAGTGGGGCCAGCCGAAGAGATAGTCAGCATCGAATCCCAAGTCAAGCCAAAGTATCGCATCGCGCGTTGGACGTTCTCTTTGGGGTTCAATGGTAGGATAGCCAGGTAGTCGCCTGCGGAGTAGGTCATGCCTGATGGAAGGCTGATCTCGATGTGCCTCTTCTCTGAAGCATCTTCATTAGAAAGAACTTCAACTTCCTCTACACGAGCCTCGCGAACGTCTTGACGTAAAGTCGACGACCTTGGTGCTGTAACCTCGACGTCAAGCGTAGTCTCCAGCGAGCCTTCGCCATCGGCCTCCGTTGATCCGTACTTCTCGCGCATGGCTGGCCACAGTACTTGGTCTTCCCAGGTCTCGAAGTCGGTGAAGATATCTCCAGAGGCAGCATCAGTGCTGCCCCATTGAACCATTTTGGTTGCGCCACGCTCTTCGAGGGTAGCGTCAAGATATTTTGGTACCTTGTGGAAGGTCTTTGCCCAATCACGGTGACCACATCCGAAGACCGCATAGTTGACGTTCTCCAGCTCCTTGCCCTTCAAGGTGCCAACCCAATTGACAAAGTGTGCGGCATTGTCGGCAGGCGCTCCCTCGTATGAGGCAGTGACAATGACGATCGGCTTGTCGGTCGGCAAGTTCTCGCGTACAGCGTCCAGGGTGTCGACGACTGCCGCGTTGAAGCCATGGTTTGCGGCGTCACTGGCAAGTCGGTTGGCGAGCGCTTCGCATGTTCCCGTGTTGGACCCGTAATAGATGGCCATAGGCTTGCCTTTGGCAACTTTTTCCTTCTGCACACGTGGCGCCCCATTCGCTGGTGGAGGCTCGTTGAGAGTAGCCGACGCTAATTTGCGTTCGAGTGATGTGGCAGAGATTCCACTTCGGAGATGCGCGCGCATGTAAAAGTCCTTGGGCTTAATCGTAAGTGTCTGCTTGATTTGAAGCTGGTATGACGCATCCTCCATAGTGAAGTTGAAGTTCTGTAGGAGAATGGCAAGCACCAAGAGGGCTTCTTGCCAGGCGAACGGCCTTCCAATGCAGGCTCGCATGCCGTTGCCGAATGGCTTCCAGCAGTTGGGAAACTCGGTGTTGCGCTTTTCAAACTCTGCGTCAAGCATTCGCTCGGGGCGGAACTCCTCAGCGTCCTCGCCATATGCGACTGGATCGCGGTGAACCATGGGAAATAGTGCAACAAGTGGCGTGCCTGCCTTGACCGCATACTTTCCTCCGATCGTAGTGTCTTCCTTGGCCGTCATACCCACTGCGGGCGCCGTAGGCTGAAGACGGAGAGACTCACGTAGTACAGCATTCAGATATGGAAGCTTTGTCAAGTGGTCGACAGTAATTGGACCTTTACCAATAACATCATCTACTTCTTGCTGTGCCTTCTCATATGCTTGAGGGTTTTTCAGCAGGTAGTAGAAAGTGAACGAAAGCAAGCCGGAAGTCGTCTCGTGTCCAGCAATCAGGAATGTGATCATATTGTCGATGACACTCTCATCCTGTTGATGTTAGTGTGACCTCAGTCCCAGTAATCGTGTTTAACTTACCGTCATCTTCTTGCCAGTCTTAGAATCAACACCGTTCAGCATGCCGTTGAGTAGATCTTTCTTGTTGGTCGGGTTGTCTCTCCTCGTCTTGATTACATCCATACTGGTTTTGCGGAGCAGTTCAATATCCCTCCAATACTTTTGCGACTCGGCGCCATAAAACATCTGCGAGATGGGATCTCTCCTCGCACGGTCTCCACTGGTCTTGAGGAAGTCGGCCATTGACTCAACGAACGGGTGCATCTTTTGCTGGTAATACGAGTTGAACCGGTAGTCCATGGCGCAGAGAGCGATGGTATCGAGAGTCAGGCGTGTGAAGTCGTCCGTAACGTGAATAACATGCTCAGGACCATGTCTTGCCCACTTCATCACGAGTTGAGACGCAATGTCGTGCATCTCGTTGAACATGTTGCGAATGGCTAGCGGCCCTAGTTGTGGAAGCAAGACACGGTGTGCAATACCCCAATTCTCCTCTTGTGGTCCGTATGATGTGAACAGGCCATCGTGAACGCCATTCCGGACTTGTTCGAGTGATGCTGCTATGATCTTTGAGAATCGTTCCTCATCGCAGATCTCGTTAAGGTGAGCTTGGTTCGCGATGACGACACGCTCGCCGCCGAGATAGAATTTCCATATAGGGCCTACACTCGTTAGCCGTCTGCTTTCTCCGTGCGTGTCAGGGGGCCAGTTCACCATATTTCAATGTCAAATTGCACATGGACTGTGTAGGGTTTGTTGCGTCGATGTCTCCAATGTTGCCAACAATGGGCAGACCAGGTGGGCCGGGTATGGGCTCAAGATTCGCCATTGTGATGTAAATTACAGCAGTAGAAAGGAATTAGAAACGAAAAGGACCACGGTATATGAATGTTCGTGGATCGCTGAAGATGTATGTGTTGTTGGGATGTCGGGAGAGCTCGTTCTATCTATAATGAATCAGAATAATTAAGTCATGCCACGTCGTTCGCATAATGACGCACTGAAACAGAGCAAATCCTTTCGCGCGCCCCGAATGCTACCTCCTTGACGCGTTGGGACCACTTTGGTGCTTGGAAAGAAAGATGCCTCGGTCGTTGTCGTGGAATTCAAGCACGGTGATTTGTTGTTGCCGTTTCGGGTAGTCGCCGTGTCGGAGCTTTTCACGTCGGTGCACGGAGGAACTATGAGGTCGGCCGAGCTTGAGGCTGGAAGCACATGCAAAGCCACTGAATACACGAGATGGAATTGGAAGCCGAGGACGAATGCGATCGCAAAAGTTGATGATGGTGCTTAAGAAGGTGCAGCGTGTCAGAAACAATGTTATGCAACGCATGCGTAGTGCGACTTAGCATTGGGTCTATCTCGATTGGTTGCAGTACCGAAGCGGTGGGATGATGTGTGTGAACCAAATGCTGGCATCTTTGGCGATCGGATGTCTAT